GAAAGAAAAAAAAAAAGAGAACAAGAAGGGGGGAGGGGGTAATGGGTGAGGGAGGACCTGGGAGGAATTAGGGGGAGGAGTAGGAGTTGACTATGATCAAAATGCACTGAATGCACAAATGAAATTCCCAAAGAATTATAGAATTTTATATTTATAAAAAACTGTTCCAAGATTTTTTTTAAAAAGATGCTGTAGAAAAAGAAAATTAACATTATTTTCAATGATGAGCCTAAGTTGAAAGATATTACATAAAGTCAGAACTGAAGGTGCTGATGCTGATGTACAACTGAACTGCTTCACAAGTAGATAAATCTGTGGCTTACTCTAATGGAAATATCTGCAAAGGTTTGCGTGTTTCACCCTGAACAACAAAAAGGGGTCAGTTTGGGTGCATTAAAGGTACTCACCTGTAATGAAGCGATCTAATGGCATCACAGGGGCAACATGAGGTGTGGCTTGTGTAACCAGAAGATTGATCAGATCTTGTTTAAAATTTTTCAGTGTAAGCAATGCTCTTGCAACAAGGCCACCCATAGAATGACCAATTATTGCTACACTTTTTGGAGCAAATTCTTGGCCCTATTTAAAAAAAAAAAATGAAAGAACCCACCACAATATAATTCTTAATATCTTAAGAAAAATACTTAGTTTTTTTTGCATATGAGGCTTGCAATAGAAAAAAATAAACCATATGAACTTCCATCCAAAGACACAGAAATACATTTTTATACAGTTCTAATCAATGAATTAATACCATTCTGTGTTATGTCATTATGGGCAGTTAGATTTTGGTTTTCTGAACCAAAATTGGAATATTTGATCTAGCAGATCATGTTTTTATCATTTGTCATGCTGCATATAATCTAAGGTATAATTATATTTGTATATAACAGAATATTAGATCTTATAATATATAAGAAATCAAAATATTTGACACTGAAAATATTTCTAAGTCAAGGCGACCATACCCGTGACAGTTGTTACTACCTATCATGTTGGTATCTCATTACATCTAATCATTTTTATATTGTGCATTTGAGTTTAAAAAAATAAAACAGCACTCCAAACAGTTATTCACTGGTTCTATAATTCTTTAAGTAAGTACTGCTCTAACATAATCTCTGTGCCCACTACTATCCTCAGTCCCACACTGAACTTTTTCATGTCTCCCTACCAACACTGATCCTTCATAGGTATTCTTCACTGACTATGACAAAAAAGAAAAAAAAAAAGAGCTGGCACATAAGGTCTGAGGCTGCTATCCTTAGAATAAACTATGTACAAAGTTCCTCTAGAGTAGAGTCTGGGACTTTATATTTTGGGAGGGTTTCTGCTACTCTTTAAACGGTTCACAATACCTACACTACAAATAGTATGATGAACACCTGTTGTCCTCCAGGCTAGAATGCTGGTAGGCAGGCAGCAGGATATTAGCCCCCAATAAAAATTTTGGGTCTCTAAGGAGTGTCCGTCATATGTAATGTTTCTTATGTCACAATTTGTTGGTATAGGTATTAAGTGCAGAGTGTGAGAGTGCTCTGAGAGAGAGCTTTTGGAGGCTTACACACACACACACGCACACACACACACACATGCGCGCGCGTGTTAAAGATCTTTTGGAGGCTGGTACCTGATTTTCTTCAGATTTTGTTGTGTACTTCTCCCTCTGCTGATTCTGCTTTGTGTCCTCTGACAATGCCATAACCCTAAGCACAGTTATATGCTGAATTGGGGGAATCGGCCAAGTAATTCAGTAAGCCTGGGAATGGTCTTGGGGAGTCCCAAAGCTGATCTTTATAAGGGCCAACCTCCACATCTGTGCTCAGAAGCTTCTTGTCTCTGGCCTTTTCACTTGAACAATTCTCATTTCTTCATGCACATTACTGTGTTCCCTTTTCTCTAGATCACTCTTGCTATACAAATATATGATTCCATAAAAATAAAAACTTGTCTTTATTTTTCCCTTTCCTGAGCACATTCCACCTCTCTGTACAGAAATCATTATATATACAGCTCCTTGGGATCGCCCCTTTCTCACCTTCCATAAACCCTTAAGCTCATTCTAATTGCCATCCACCCCACTGCTTCACCAACAGTCTTTGCTAAATCATCAAGCAATCTAATGGTCAATTCTCAGTCTCATCTTACTTGACGCACCAAGAGCATTTGACATAAATGACAACTTCTTCCTCTTTGACGAGGTTTACTTGACAGCAGACTCGTCTAGTCTCCTGTTACCCACAGGGAACTCTCAGACTTTGAGGCTTTCTTTCCTTTCCCTCAACCCTCGAAGGAATGCCTCAGGCCTAGTCCTCGATTTCTTCTCTTTTACACTGACGCTGACTGCACTGGTGATCTAGTTTTCCCTTACGACTTACTGACAACTCACAACTATCTCAACTGGATCTCTTTTCTTTAACTTCAGCCTTGAACTCTTATTATACAATTGCCATACTTGGAAGAATTTATGCATCTCAAACTTAACCTGATTTAAACTAGACTCCTTCACCTCCCAATCTCTTCTTCCTAGTCCTCTCCACATCAATGACAATTCAATCCCTTCAGTTGTTGAGACAAAAAAACTTGGGGATCATCCTTAATTCTTTTTCCTTCTACTGAATCTCTACATGTGATCTCTCAGCAAATCTTGCTGCCTCAACCTTTAGCATTAACACCAATTTGTTCATTTGTCACCTCTTGCCTGAGTCTCTCTGCCTCTGCCCAAATGTCCTTTCAGTTTTTGCTCTAATATAGGCAGAATGATACTGTTAAAATTTAAAGAAAAGCATGTCATTCTTCTACTAAAAAACCTGCCCAGTGTTTTTTCCATATCTCTAAATAAATTGTTTATATTTTATTCTTACGTGTATGAGTGTATTGCTTGCATGTAGGTAGGTGCAACCGTGTCATGCATTGCCCGCAGAGGTCAGAAGAAGGTGTCAGATTCCCTGAAACTGGAGTTATGGATAGTTGTTAGCCGCCATGTGGGTGCTAGGAATCAAACCCAGGTCCTTTGAAAGAGCAGCCAGTGCTCTTAACCACTGAGCCATCTCTCCAGCCCCCATATCCCTCTAGATAAAAGGCAAAGATCATTAGAACTGTCTACATCTTTTTAAACTACCTGACCCAACCCCAGTGTCTTCTGCCAGCTCCATCTGCTGTAGCTATTCTAGTTTCCTTGGCATTCCTCACATACAGCATGTGTGTAGACTGATCATGTTTCCTCTAGTTTTTTTCTCTAAATATTCAACAGGCCACTCCCTCGCATACTTGGTTTGTATTAAATTATCTGCTTTGCAAGTGGTCGTCTCAGGCACCCTTATTTTTAATGTAACTTTCTGCCTTTGATTGCCTATCGCCTTTTCCTGCTTTTTCTTTCAGACGTTAATCTTATAAGAATGTATGCATTTTTCTTATTTATCATCTACTTTTTCTCACTAGAACATAATTTCACAAAGGACTGGGTTTGGGTTTTATGCTCTGCTATGTGTACTTATTAGACTCACATGATGGATAAGGTTTTCTCCACCCAGAGTGCTCTTTCCCATATCCATATCCTGCCTTCTCAGTGAGATTCAACTGTCCTCCAACTCTTACTGTACTTGCTTGTAACAGAAACCTTACTTTGTAAGCATCTCAACTTTTAAAAAGTTTACTAGATACTATAAATTTAACATATTCTTTAGAAAAATCCTAAACAAAAATAGAAAAATAATAAACTGCCCATTACATGACATTAAAGTTTTTTTTTAGTAGCATTTATGGAAAATAAGTCTTACCTTCTGATCATCTCATTTATCTTGTCTGATAAGTATCTTGACAGTTACGACAAGGTCTTATACCTAAAATATACCATTTTTTCCCATAATTCTCATAATTACTCAGGTTGAGGGAGTTAATTTTTATGCTGAGTTTGTGCTTATTTTCATTGCAGTAAGCCATAAACAGGTGCTGAGCATAGTCAAGTGGCTTTTCTCCATCTACAGAGATGCACTACACTGCCTCATAGTTAGATATTAACCCAGTTTAGTATTCTTGCAATCATTTGGTCACGATTGCTCCTTTTAGATATGGCTGGGTTTGATATTCTGATTTTGGTTGAGGATTTTATATTTATGTCCATGACTGCTATGTTCTCTATTTTTAAGACTGCATATAAAATGGAATTGCATCCCTCTATTCTATTTTTCATTTCTCCTTTTCTAGTTTTGTTGTCAGGGCTATAGTGACCTGAAAAATCAGTCTGTATTTTTTCTGCATCCATTTTTCTGAAAGTTGCTTTTGCTATTTTTTTTTTTCAAGATTGGTATTTGTCCCTTCTTAAATGTGTGCTAGAATTTCACTCTGAATCATTTTGCACTAGGTTTTTCTTAGTGGTAAGGTTTTCAACCACAAACTCAACATTTTTAAACAGATACAATACAGGGCTATCCAGTTTTTGTTTCTTCTTATATCAGTTTTATGATTTATGTTTCAAGACATTTGTGCATTTATTAAATTTACTGCTATGATATTCCTTTATCATCTTCTTCAAATGTGTATACTCTGTTCCATTTTAGTTCCTGATATTGTTACTCTATTTTCTCATTTTTTAAATCAATCTAGCCGCAATTTGACAAGTTACTGATCTTTCTGAAGAATCAACTACTGGCAGAAGTTATTTTCTCTATTGCTTCGTCTTCATTAATCTCCATTTTAATCTTTCTTTTCTCTCTAGCTTCTAAAGGTTGTAAGCTTAGATCATTGATTTTAAATCTCGTTCTTTTCTAACATAAGCATTTAAAGACTGTATTTCTTTTAACCATTACCTAATCTTATAAATTCTTTTTTATTCTTTGACAATTTCATACATGTATAAAATCTTATAAATTCTGATACTGGGTTTTCATTTTAATTCAGTTCAATATATTTTCAAATTTCACTTAAAAATTTAAGCTCTATTTTTATTTTAAACTATAGTGTATATAGGAGTGGGGTATGTGCACATGAGTACAAGTGCCAGCAGAAGCCAGAAGCATCAGGTCCATCCAGAGCTGGGGTTGCCCCACGTGGTTGCTGGGAACTTAACTCAGGTTCTCTGGAAGAGTAGTATATGCTCTTAACCACTGAGCCATTTCTCTAGTCCAAATTTCAGATTTTCTAATCTTTAGGTAATTTAGAAGTTCCAAATAGTTGGGGATTTTCTGGGTATCTTTTTAAACTTCTGACTTAATCTTGCTATTTTCAGAAAATACACTGTGCAGTTTCAGTTCTTTCACACGTACTAAGACCTGTGGTTGGTCCGGCATATGACATAGCATAGACCATCGCTTAGTAAATGTTCAGTGTGCATTTAAGGAGATTATGTTTCTATAGTTGTTGAGTATTCTATAAATATCAGTAAAGTTAAGCTGGTGAATGGTGCTCAAATCTATAGCTTTACTGATTTTCTTTATCAATAACTGAGAGAGTAGTACTGAAATCTCTAATGCTAATTGTGAATTTACCTAAAAGTTTTTCCTTTAGTTCTATAACATTTTGCTTCATGCATTTTGGAGAATTAGATGCATATACAGGATTCTTTTGTTTTCTTGATGAATTGACTTTTTATTGTCTCTTTTAGAGGTGGAAGCTGAAGATGAAACTCAGAGCCTTTAAAATGTCCATATTTACTACTGATAATATACCTTGCCCTAAGATCTATGGATTGATAATGATTTAATCATGCCAGTTTGTGTGTGTGTGTGCGTGTGCATGTGCACGTGTGTACCACCATGTGTGATATAGAAGCCAGAAGTCAACATTTGATGTCTCCCTCTAGTGCTTTCCATCTTATTTTCTTTTTACATTTATTTATTTGTGCATTGTAAGTGTGAGCACATGTGTGCATGTGCATGAATATGACTGTCAGAGGATAACTTGTATGAGTTAGTTCACTTCTACCATGTGACCTTCAGGGATCAAATTTGGGTCACCAGGCTTGGCAACAAGTGTCTTTACCCACTGAGCCATGTCACTGGCCCTCCACCTTACATTCTGAGACAGGATCTCTCACTAAACTTGGAGCTCACTGACTGGATAAATGGACTATCCTGAAAGCCTCTAGGACCCTCCATTTCCATCTCCTAGTGCTGCCAGCTTTTTTTTCTTGGTGTTGGGGGAGCCACCTGAGGGCTTCATTCTTGCAGAGGAATTGCTCTTACGCACTGGGCCATCACACCAGCCCCTCCATCTTACTTCTTACACCTGAGGTGGACATATTCTACAATTTCTTCCTTGGTATGACACTGACTTCTAGCTTCTGGCCCTGTGTGTATAGGCAGCATGGCATTTGAAGATTTGAAAAAAAAAAAATGTCTTTTTTTAGAGCTCCTTTCTTCACTTCTTTGCCTTCTTTACCACACCCAACCTCATGTAGCCACTTCAGTAGTCCCAAATTAGAATTCTCTAGTTCTTGAATTTGGTGATATTGATGTGCTCTGCTTAATCTCACACGGTCTGGAAAATGCTGGTAGACAGAAAGCCAGGGCCATCACAGAGCTCACTTTGTTCAGGGATGTTAATCCTTTGCTGAAACAAGTGCTTTGGATACCTTTACCAGTTTCAGTTGTTTACACACACAGGCAGCATCCTCTAATGCCACTTCATCATGGCTAGAAGCAGAAACTTTTAACAGCAGTTTTAAAGTAATGCATTGCATTCAATATTGATACAGGGTTCAAAAACATTTTTGTCTGAGTTCACAAGATTTATTCGAATTCAATTTAAAATTTAAAATTACCAGGTTGATGATAACACACAACGAAAATCCTGTCATTTTTATTTCAACTTCAATATAAAAAATATATTATCTAAAACAGAATATACCTTAAAAAAAAGACACCGGCAGGTTACAGCACTGATCTGTATATTCTCTTACCTTGTAGAGTTTGAGAATTGTTTTAATGCACTCATGTACAAACTTGGTTTGCTTCTGAAGACTTCCACCGTACAGTGCCACCAGTTCTTCATTGAAGTTGACACTAAAGAAGTCAAAGTGGTATTTGAAGTCAATGTCTTCTGCTTTTCTAAGTGCAATAGAGCCAATAGAGCGAACTGCAGAGGAAGATGAAGTGCAAACTAAACAAAATATCCTGAAATTTCATCCAACTTTATTTCAAAGTCTCTTAGTAAGTAACCCTACCATAAATAGCAACAACTTGTTTCAAAGTGATACTCATTAACAGTACCAGTTTAGGAACTAGGGAGATGGCTAGGAAGGTAAAAATGCTTGCTATCCAAATATGAGGACCTGAGTTCAGATCCCTAACATCTGTAATCCCAGCACTAGGGAGACAGAGATGGGCAGAGCCCTGAGACTTGTTTTCCAGACAGTCTAGCTGAATCTGGGAACTACAGGTTCAGTGAGATTCTTTAAAAAAAAAAAAAAAAAAAAAGGTGGAGCATGATCGAGAGCCACATCTGACATTGACCTCTGGCCTCCACACATACATGCAGACATGTGCACACACACCCCTACACACATACACACACACACACACACACACACACACACACACACACCCCATACTACCAACTTAAGAGAACAAACTAATCTAGCAGCTGTATGCCTTGTCTTTCCTTAACTGGCAAATGTATTTTAAGTTAAATAAATAAAAGGTGAACAAGCCACTCTGTCTTTGCCTGCTCTGCCTTCACTGGGAACAGCAACACCTAACAGAGGAAGGAGTAAGAAGTGGGAACTTTGTCACTTTTCTTGAGATTTTCAGCATGAGAATGTTCCTGTAAGAAGTGTGTACTCACCACTCAAACACGGTCTACACTCAGGCATGACTTCTTTCTCTTACATATGACATTCAGTCTATCAGTCCATTCTGACATCCTCTACCTTTCATACACATCCCCAGGTGAAGCTTCTCGCCCTTTCTGCCACTATCTTCCTCATCTAAGCACCATCACTGTTTGCCTGAACTACCCTAACAGTTCCCTAACTGCTCTCTGCTCTCGGTCTTCTCTGTTATTGCTTGTTTTATAAATTGTTTAACAAATTTTACTATGAATTTATTTCATGAAATGGTATAAAACGGCAGCATGTTTTAGCAAAAAAGAATACTTCTAGTTGGCCATTCCATTTTAAAACATCAAATACTACAAATTCACATATCATACAGCCGTCCTGTGTAAAGTATACAATTCAATGTGGTTTTTTTTTTTAGCATACTCACCACCTCTAGTGAGTACTATACAACCATCTCTGAAATCTAATGTTTTTAATCACCTCAAAAACAGAACCCTTGGGCTAGAGAGATGGCTCAGTAGTTAAGACTTAAGCACTGGCTGTTCTTGCAGGGGAGCTGGGTTCAGCTCCCAGCACCTACATGGCAGCTAACAACTGTCCATAACTCCAGTTCCAGGGGATCTGATGCATACTTATGACCCCCACAGGCATTGCACAACATGGGAGCATGTATATACACGTAGGCAATGCACTCATTAACATAAAAAAACAGAACCCTTGAAAACACATTGTGCTGGATACTTTTAGTGTCAACTTGACACACCTGGGTTGAGGGAGCCTCAATCAGGAAATTGCCTCTATTGGACTGGCCTGTGGCCATGTCTGAAGGGCATCTTCTTGATGAGTGATGTGGGAGGGCCAAGCCCACTGTGGGTGGTGCCACCCCTGGGCAGGTGGGCCTGTGTTGCATAAGAAAGCAGGCTGAGCAGGGGCCCGGGGAGCAAGCCAGTAAGCAGTGTTCCTCCATGGCCTGTCCTCCAGCTCCTGCCTCCAGGTTCCTGCCCTGAGTTCCTACCTTGGGCTCCCTGATGAACTGCATGCGACCTGGGAGATGTAAGACAAATAAACCCTTTCCTCCCCAAGTTGGTATTGGTCAGAGTATTTTGTCACAGCAATGAAGAACAAACTAAGACACACATCCTATTTCAGATAATATATTTATACTGAAGTTGAAAATAGTCACTCCCCAATCTTCCCAGTCCCTAATAAGCACTGATTTATTTTGTCTCTATAAATTTGCTTGTTCTGAGCATTTCATATCTGTGAGATAATCCCATGTCATAAACATATGTATGCAAGTTTCTGTGTGGATGTATAGCTTCACTTTTCCAGAATATACCCAGAGACACACAGACACACACACACAAAGTGGAATTCCTAGATCACATGATAGCTCTAGGTTTAATAGGTTGAAGAACTGACAAACTATTTTCCAATGTGACCACAGCATTTCATGTCACCATCAGCAGAGTGTGGGGTAACTTTTCCACGTTTGCTAACACTTGTTGCTATCCGTCTTTTTTGAGTATAGCTATTCTAGCAGGAGTGGTCTCATGCTTTGATGTTCCTTTCTCTGAAGACTGATGCTATTTAGTGTCTTCCTTGCTTCCACTCTTATCCTGTGAATATTCTCTTCACAGCAGAGCCAGAGTGGTACTCCTTTTAAAAAAATATTTTGCTTATTATTTTTATTTTATGTGTATGAGTGTATTGCCTTTATGTATGTGAGTACACCTGTGTCCTGAAATGCCGCATGGAGGTCAGAAGAGGGTATCAGATTACCCTGGAACTAGAGTTACAGATGACTGTTAGCTGTCATGTGGGAGTTGGGAACTGAACCCAGGTCCTCTGCAAGAGCAGCTCTAGTGCTCTTAACTATTGAGCCATCTCTTGGTACTCTTTTAAAAGTAAATCATATTTATTATATTGGATAAAATTGTTAAATCTGGCAACTTCAACACTGTCAAGGTAGAAGATGGAGAAGTATTACACAGCATTTATAAGAATCTAAATTAGCACAATCAGTAGAGATAAGAGGATATGTATAACTTATGACATGGAATTAACATTCCTAGGTATATATCCTTCAAGAACACAAGCTTATTTTTGTTTGTAACTGCCAGTAAATAGTTCAAATGTCAAAACAAACATTCAAATTACACAAAAGAATAATATAGAGCTAGGAAAATGGACAGTTTACAGTTCACACAGTAACGGGTGGATTTTTAAAAAATTTTTATTGAATTTCTGTGATTTTCATACAATATAATTTGATGGTATTTAGATCCCCTCCCCTTACCATACCGCCCCTTACCCCCCCCAATTTAATGTACACTATTATATATAGCCTATAGAGTCTGATTTGTGCCCCCAAATGTCCTTTAGTGTGGATCCATTCACTGGAGCCTGGTTCTCCTACCAAGAGTCCCATTCCTGTAAGATGGGGACTGTCTCTCCCCCTCCCAGCAGCCCTCAGTTGCCAAAACTTCCTTAGGTTGGGTTGGAATCTCTTACCCACTTCCCCATGTCAGGTGAATTTTACAAATAATGAGGAGTGGAAGAAACTAGACAAAAAAGAATATCTACTAGATGATTATTACATACTGGATGATTATATACTATAAAGGCTTCAAACAGCCCCAAACAAGGCTTCAAACAGTCTCAAATAGACTATATTAGGTATGCATACATAGTAGATACTCATAAACATTTTCTAGGTGAATATAAAAACATGTAAGAAATTATAATACATTTTGAAACAATTCTAGTTTCATTATATCAAAATTCTTAGGCCATTTAATATAACCAAAGCAGATTTGGGTTGAAAACAAAATTACTTATAGATTGGCGTATTTGGCTATTATGCCAGAAATTCTTGATATTCTCCAAGCCAACAATGAATCTGGAATGAAAACACATTATTCCCCTACCCCACTGGTCTGTGATCCCCCTCTATATTCTACATGTCTCTACACAATGTGCAGCACGATGTAAGGCATGATTTACCAAATGGATGCTTGGGTTCAGTTCTCCGTACCCTGCCTTTCCAACACAACCTTTCACTGCTCATTCCTGAATACCTGCATGTCTATTTACCCTACCCCATGCCAGCTTATTCTTTTTCTCCTCATTCCTTGCAAAGTGGTCTTCAACTCTTCTATTTCTCGTGTGTACTTGCTCTTAGAGGAAGTAGCATACGCGGGTTTACAATAAGTCTAAAATAGTACTTAACTGAGTACTTCACTTGATTCACCAAGTACACATGATTCAAACTCTGTAATTGAATCTTGGAGCTTTACATTTTTTCTTCCAGTACTTACCTTGCTTGTAACTTCCAGCATTACCAGGAAGAAAGAGAACTGGAATTCCTGTCAAAGGGAGAATTTTGTGTTCTTCAGCATACGATCCTTCTCCATAAAGATACAACTCATATGCTGGATAGCGCTTTGCCAGTTTCTTTGGGAGTTCTATTTTCTACAGAAAAATAAATGAAAGGACCATGTTAATCACTTAATGCAAACCTGAATTACAGACTTTGAAGTGGTGCAATGTAAAAATATTACTACTGGGGCCGGAAAGATGGCTCAGAGGTTAAGAGCACTGACTGCTCTTGCAGAGGACCTAGGTTCGATTCCCAAGCACCCACATGGTGGCTATGAACCGTCCTTAACTGCAGTTCCAGGGGAATCTAAAGCCCTCTTCTGACCTCTGCGGCATTGCACAGCACAGGTGCTCTCACATACATGCAGGCAACACACTCATACACATAAAATAAAAATAATAAATAAGATATTTTTTAAAAATTAAAAAATATTACTACTGATAAAACCACACTTAAGACACAAAACAAGTTCAACATATAGTTTTCCATACAAGGAATTATTCTTTTGTTTTTTTACTTGTTTTTGATACAGGGCCTCCTTGTAGCCCCAGCTGGCCTGGAACTGGCTATGTAGACCAGGCTGGCCTTGATCTCACAAAGATCTGCCTGCCTTTGCCTCCCCAGTGCTGGGATTAAAGGCATGCACCATGACTCCCAGTGTCAAGAAATGACTCTTAAATTATGTACATAGGTCTTGAACTATGTAACCTGCGGAAAAGCATAAGATACAAGTAGCTGAAATTTTAACAGAGATTAGTCAAAATATCCTGACAATGACTACACATTAAGTCAATAAGTTATGTGTGAACATAGTTAGAAATGCTTTTGTTTAGAAGCAATATCAGTTATACTTCAGAATGAAGATAAAAGCTTTCCATTATCAAATTAATTCTTTTTTGTCATTCTAAATTATGTTATGAAGCATCTCCTTTTACTCAAGACCACCTACATAGCCTAGCGTTATAACTTTAAAGGAAGGATATTGCATGTGTGTGTGTATGTGTGTGTGTACATGTGTTCACTCATGTGTGTGTATACATGTGTATGTGTGCGGACAACTGTTGGTGTAAGTGTGTGTGTGTGTGTGCACACGTGTGCGAGAGAGAGAGAGAGAGAGAGAGAGAGAGAGAGAGAGAGAGCATGTGGAGGCCAGAGGTCATTGTGTATGTTCCTCGATTATTCTCCACCTAGTTTTTTCCCCCAAGGCAGTAGGTCTCCCTGAACCTGGGCATCAGAGATTCAACTAGACTGGCTGGCCAGCAAGCCTCAGGGAGACTCCCATCTCCAGCTCCCTAGTGCTAGGATTACAGGCACACACTGCCATGCCCAGCTTTTTACATAGGTGCTAGGGATCTGAACTCAGGTTCTCATATTTGCATGGCAAGCACTTGACTTACTACGTTCCTAGCCCCAAGTTTGTTTTATAATGTAACTCTCTGACCTCTCAATGTTCTGACCTATAATGGATTTAACCAAACAATCTGAACTTTACAACCAAGTCTTGACCAAGGTATGCACACGCTTCTTACCATAAACACTCTAGCAAATTAGTATTTCTTTCAGTTTTCATGGACCAGGTATATGGTTTGTCAGAAACTCTAAAGCTACTTTGCAAATCCTGTCATTGTACACAAAATGAGTCAATAGTTCAAATAAATTTTTTTCAACATTATATAAATGAGGTCTTACTGTCATACCCAAAAGGTAGGCATCTATGAAAGATTTAAACTTTCCTGCTTCCCCTTCCCTGTTTACAGCACAGTCTCACTAAATAGCCTCAGCTGATTGCTCTACTCCTCATCTTCCTTTCACGACCTCCCAGTGTTGGGGATCACAAGTGTGTCCCACCGGACCTGGTGTTTCCTTTTGTTCTTTCTTTTTTAAAGAACAGAAATCATTAAAAATGAAACCATTACACTGAAGCCTAGATTTAAGCAGTTATCGATAGATTAATAGTCTAGCAGTGCTGAACGTGGACAATGTGCTTGATGAAAAATTTTTACCATATTAATTTCATAAACTAAATGTTAATAACTGATGGAAAAATCTCATAGTTCAAAAAAAAAAAGAAGAAGAATTCTGACCATTTGTGTGGATTCCTGACCTTTCCTTGGGATGGGAACTGGGTATCAGCATTCTATGGTGCCATTTCCGCCACAGAGACATCTATAGGACTGTGTGCTTATTGATTTGAAGATATACATTCTCAATTATCTTCTCAAATACTCAAAATACAGAAATACCAGTGTCACCACTTGCTTTCTAGGTAGACTGGTACTTCAGATCAAATTAGTCCCAATAGCGACTATGCACAGCATGCAAGCAAAAATGAAAATGCCACTATATTTTATTTATTTGGGTACTAATGAAGCAAAAAGAAAATATGGAGAAAGAGAACAAAGAAATAATGTCTTAACTCCTCCCAATTAAGTACACAATTTGCTTTAACAATACGTGTATAACAGAGTTTTTGTAATATAGTAGCTAAACAAAGTTTAAGCTAAGCTGAACATTAATTCGGAGAACAGGAAATTATCAATATATAGAAACAATTATCTGAAGACAAAAAAGCAGGCAAAATAACATACTTGACAATATTTCATATATACTATTTTGTAAGCAATTTTATTGTAAAAAAAATTTAAATCATTAAAAAATAATGATACGGTGAAAAAAGTTAGAGGCGATGAAGGGTGGAGAGAGGGGAGGGAAGAGGAAAGGTGAGGAGGGTCAAGAATGGTGAAAAGTTGGGCTGGAGAGATGGCTTAGTGGTTAAGAACACTGGTTGTTCTTACAGAAGACCCAGGTTCAAATCCCAGCACCCACATGGCAGCTAAGAACTGTCCGTAACTCCAGTTCTAGGGGATCCAACAGCCTCTTCTGTCTTCCGCAGGCACTGCACGACACAGGTGCACTTACCTACACACAGGCAATACAGGCTTACACATAAAATAAAAAAATATAAAAAATGAAAAAAAAAATGGTGAAAAGTTAGCCAGTGCAGTGGGACATGACTTTAATCCCAGCACTCAGGAGGCAGAGGCAGGCTGATCTCTGAGTTCGTGGCCAGCCTGGTCTACATAATGAGTTCCAGGCCAGCTGGGGCTACAGGGAGACCCTGCCTCACCTCAAAAAATGGTGATAGTTGTAGATAAAAAGCAAAATTTCATTTCCAGGCAGAGTTCAAGCTGGAAGTGAGTGGCCAATAGGCAAGAGGAAAACATAACTGAAGAGGCTGACAGACAACATCTAGGCACACAAAAAGGATGCTGAAAGAAGAAGAAAGGGATGTCAAAACAAAACATTTATAGCAGCAGAGGTCTGATATGAATTCATTATTTTATAAAATTTCAAATAAGCAAACCATCAATTCCAAAATACACTTTTAATGAAGATCAGTACCTTTACATTAAATAGTATCTCTATGACCCTAATGCTGTTGTCTTACTTAACTATACCTTAGTACACGGCCCCTCTCAATGCTGACTTACATCTCTTTTAAAGCCAAAAATTTTAAAAACTCCCAAGAGCTTGAAAATGCCAGTGTAAGAAAGCAAAGTTCAGGTGGCGAGATGGCCCAGTGGTTAGCAGTGACTGCTGCTATTGCAGAGGACCCACATTTGGCTCCCAGCACCCACACGGCAGCTAACAACCATCAGTAACTCCAGTTCCAGGGGATCTGATGCCCTCTTCTGGCCTCCATGGGCACCATGGTACACATACATACACTCAAGCACGCACATAAAATAATATTTTTTAAAAATAAAGTTCTCATTTTATGATATATATTTCACTTGTAAATAGAAACTATAAAGTTTGATCTTCATAATTTAAGAAAAAAGAAAAAAGCATCAATATAAATGCAGACATTGAAAAATTCTTAAAAAGAAGTCTCAGCCCTTTGCTGATGCTATTCTTAAGATTTTGTTAAAAACAGAAAAGAGGGTCTGGAGAGATGGCTCAGCAGTTAAGAACACTGGCTGTTCTTGCAGAAGACCTGGTTTCAAATCCCAGCACCCACATGGCAGCTAACAACTATCCATAACTCCAGTTCCAGAGTATACAATGCCCTCTTCTGACTTCTGCAGGCACTGCATGACATGGATGCACTTACATACATGCAGGCAATATATGCGTACACATAAAATAATAAAATATTTTTAAAAAAAAAAACCAGAAAAGGGGCTGGAGAGATGGTTCAGTGGTTAAGAGCACTGACTGCTCTTCCAGAGGTCCTGGACTGGGTTCCCAGCACCCACATGGTGGCTAACAACTATCCATAACTCCAGTTCCAGGGGATCTGATGCCCTCTTCTAGCCTCTATGGGTTTGCATGCATGTGATGCACTTACATATAAAGGCAAAACACCCATATACACAAAAATAAATACATTTTTTAGCAAAACAGAAAAGAAGAAACCACCTAGACATAATTGAATCTTTCAAATTGGTCTTTCTTGTCATAACTTCTCTGCTACAATCCACAGTTCATGGTGCTGTCAATACCTCAATGTACATAGAAATTCCACTGCACATATAAATAATAAAGCCTTTAGAAAGGGAAATCTTTTAAAATTCTGTTCTAATTATTTTTATCTTATTCGTGTAGCTTACACATGCCATGTTTTTTTCAATATTTTATTTATTATTTTTATTTTATACGTATGTGTGTATTGCCTGCATGTAAGTGCACCCATGTCATGCAATGCCCACGGAGGGCATTGGATCCCCTGGAACTGGAGTTATGGTTATGGATGGATGTCAGTGCCATGTGGGTGCTGGGAACTGAACCTGGATCCTCTGCAAGAGCAGTTAGTGCTCTTAAGCACTGAGCCATGTCTCCAGCCCACACATGCTATGTTTTAAAGTTTGTGTTATATTTAAAACTTTTCAAAATTAAAAAGGATAGGCATTGAAAAGAATCTCTCCTACAGCCTGGTCCTTCAGTCATCCAGTTCCCCTAGCCCATTAGGCAACCAATGTTAACCAATTTATGTGTGCCTCCAAATGTTTTAAATATATACAACCAATAAGTTTACAGATTATTTTCTTCTTTTTACATAAACGGCACTAGATTACAAATGCTGATCAGACAATGTATCCTGGTTCCTTCCTTCCTTCCTTCCTTCTTTCCTTCCTTCCTTCCTTCCTTCCTTCCTTCCTTCCTCCCATATACACTATTTAGGCCTGCAATTTTCTTTTGCTACTTTGTGAACCAAACAACCTACATATCCAAAGTCGCATCTTTTCTAAACCATTTGAAAACCCAGGACAAACTTGGATGTACTCTTTCCTCTGAAGAGCACTGTCTACATTCTCTACTATATTATACAGTTGTACTTTATATTCTTGCCTCTTTTCTTGTTATAAAGACATACATTAAGGGCACAAGGACTTATCATTTGTTCTCTCTCATACCAAATACACCTAGAATTGAGTCAGTCATTCAATAAATGACTTTCTAAATAAACATCAATATGCTTTATTGTAAAATGATTTATATTTTCAATATCAACATTTCCTTTCAGAGAGCCATCATTAGGTCACACATGAAGAGAGTCAAAAAGGTGTATGAAAGAAAACAAATCAGATGTTTCTTCTTAAATTCTGCAATTTGCCTAAAATTACATGCTGCCAAATGAAAGTTTTGCCCTGCTGACACAGCAAGGCAAGAAGCTTTAAATGCTGTGGTTTTGCCTCGAAGACTCAAGAGCTAACTGTGAAATGTTCGATTAACTTCTAATAAGCTCACCTAGGAAAACCCCAGGCAGAGGATGAATAAAGATAATAAACATTTTTTAAATACTTTTTTATTTTTATTTTATGTGTATGAGTGTTATGCCTACATGTAGGTAAAGTGTACCCGCATCGTGCAATGCCCGCAGAGGACAGAAGAGGCTGTCGGACCCCTGGAACTGGAGTTATGAACAGTTGTTAGCTGCCATGTGGGTGCTGGGATTCGAACCCGGGTATTCTGCAAGAACATTCAGTGTTCTTGACTGCTGAGCCATCCCCAGCCCCGATAATAAACACTTTTTAATTCAAAACTTCATTTTGTAAAGAGTTTCAAATCTATATCTGGCTTTTTAATAAAAGAAGAAACGTCATCTACTTCTGTTGACTAGCTAAGCAAATGAAAATTTTATTTAAAAGCCTCAAGAAAGATGAAAATCCAATGACTAGGCCATGCCACATGTTGGGTATCAACCTGCAAATGATTAGAAAGCTTCAGAAAACATAATTTAAAAGAAAATATATAAACATCTTAGGCCGGGCGTGGTAGCGCACGCCTTTAATCCCAGCACTTGGGAGGCAGAGGCAGGTGGATCTCTGTGAGTTCAAGGCCAGCCTGGCCTACATAGTGAGCTCCAGGACAGCTAGGGCTACAGGGAGACCCTGTCTCAAAAAGAC